TGCCAAAATGGATTTGTTCGTACGCGTCGTTTAGCCAGTAAGCACTTACCAGGTTAAGTCTTCTCCCTCATTTATCGAGTAAAATTCTCGGTCCTTGCTATTCTTCTTACCAGGCAAGATTCTCCATCCTTGTCATACTCACCTAATAATGCAAATGACACCTGATTAATACTTACCCACTAAACGTTTAGTGAACAATCTCTTAATATGTTTATTTGGTCTCTGACGAGTAGCTCAGTTGGCAAAAAAATGGAGCGACTTAGCCCAAACACAAGATAGATCATGGGTTCGATTCCAGTCCCCCTCCCCCGAAACTAGCCACAACCGCTGAGGGAGCCAAAAATTACCCTCTCGTATTGGTGTCGTTGGTGACGGGTTTAAGATAATGGAAATTTTTGTGAAATATGGTTATTTGTGCAAGCTATGACTACCCATTTAACTAAAATGCACTAGTTTGGACTAATGGAAGTACAAGAAAGCCCGATAACGAGCCCAAATATCTACTCAAAGAGATCGATTTCCCAACCATAATTCCATATTGAGACCCCATCTCGGATTTGTTTTAAAGGTTACGGCAAATTCAACGGAAATAAATGATCGTTTGGTTCTCAAAACTAACAATGTTAAATGCAAACCAAAATGGTGGTGTTTGATTGGTTTGAGTTTGGTTCCAATGGTTAAAAGTATTAGGAGGTCTTAGGTTCAAATCCAAGAAGAAATAAAAATCTTTTTGTGGCCACGAAGGTTCTAATGCGGTGACTCCGGGCTATCTGCAAAGCAAGTGGTCATTCTAGGATTAGTCGGCTCGCATAGCGGGTTGGATACTTGAATATCCAGGTTAATAAAAAAAACAAAAACAATGTTAAATGCATGAAATAACATCGTATTTAATATTAATTCTTATTTTAAGTACCATTTTATTAAAAAAAATCTAAAAACCCCAATAAATTTTTTTGTTTGGAACCAAAAGGACTTTGGCCTTCTAGGAGATCAGGGGTTCAAACCTCACCATAGGTGAGGAGGGTGTGTGAGTTTATTTGTTGCATTTGCCGTATATAAATATTATATACTTTTAAAAAAAATTGTTTGGAACAATTAAATCTATGATTTTTTTAAGTAAGTAAATAAATAAACTATTGATCTTTCTTAATTTAATGATCTAAGTCTTTGGATTTGTTTTTGAATAAACCAGAAGAGTACTACATCTCAATTTTAATGTTCTATTTTATTATTTGTTTCTGTCGATGTTATAATACAATTTTATGTGTTTTTAAGAAAGCAATAATCATTTTATTTTTGAATAAAATATAAATTTGAAGATATCATAAAAATTTGAAAAAAAAATATATCAATGTTAATATCAAATCAACTATTTAAAAGTTCTCATTTTCTTATGTAATTTTTTTAATTTATTTTTTTATTATAATTTAATTTAAGTTTAATAACGAAATAATTTATTTTTGGTTTAATAATATAACATTTAAAGAAAATAATTAAGTATTCTGTTAGAACTCAATGATTATCTTAATTATATTTTAGATTTTTTATATTTAAAAGAAGATGTTTATCCTGTATTTGATTATGTTTATCTGCAGTTAGTTACACGAATTAAGATATGGAGCTTTAATAAGTTGTACTTACGCACAATCTACTTGTAATCTTGAGTTTTAAGTAATATGCATTAATAACCAGTACTTTACGCACAAAAAGTGTTTTTTAAGAGTTTTTGTCAAATGCTTTATAATATAGTATAGATAATTCACCGATTTTTGGAAATTAGTTACGCACCCTATTTTAACACGAAGAAGTTGTTTGTAAATGGTTAGTAAGGTTATTTTAACTAAAGAGTCTTTCCCGTAACTTATTTATATAAATAACATGTTTTAATTTTTTGTTCAAATAAAATGCTTTTTGTATTTTATTTGTTGTAGTATATAATAACTCGATGGTCAAATTAGTTGTAATGACTCGACCTTTATAATATGCGTAACATCCTCAAATTTCCAAAAGTCGAGATGATATAAATATTGCCTAAACCGGCAACAATGTTCAAGAACAGAGGAAATTACCAGACGATTTCTCATAAGTTTGCAGCGGACAGTAAAACTACTACTCTTAAGATTCTTACAAATCATTTAAACTGCATAATCTAGTAATATTCCAAAATCTAGAACAAAATGCAGCCACCTTGACACCAGTTTCAAACCTTAGCCAACCCCGGTCAAACCCCCGTTTCCTGTTCCTTATTCTAGACCCTGTCCCCGATCCTGTTGTTCTAGTGAAATGAAGACTAAACGTGATTAAGTGAAGAAGCGGTCGACTGGTCGTGATATCATGGAGTCAGGAGAGTCTCGATTCTTAAATCAATTGTAAAACTAAAAACCTAGTTTTGAAAAATAAATAATCTATATTATATATATATATATATATATATTAATAAAATAAACTAATTAAATTATATACCAGGTATGACGAGGGTCAGGGGATACGCTACTCGACCCTGGCCACAACACCAACCCCATTTTGAGCCTAGCCGGGATCCCCGGCCCTGGCCCTGGGACCCAGTTTATCAGGGAATCCTCATCCTCGCTCGGGTCAAATGAACCGGGTTTCCTACAGGATCAGGGCAAATCACCATCCTACGCACAACTATAGTGTAGGGTTTTGACTATTTATTATTTATATAGTTTTTTTTATTATATTACAAATGTTTGTATATTATTAGTTTTAATTATTCGATATTTTTTAAATATTTGATATTTTTAATTTTATAATATGATATGGAATTATATAATATGTCATGATATATTAGTTGACATTTATCTAAGCTATATTATCATTAGTTGGTCATTAAATAAACCAGATTCTTAAATAAACGAAAAGCTTGTCCCAAAATCCTAAATAGAAATTTTTAATTTTGTTTTTCAAAATAAAAATCAAATCAAAGTTGGTTCTGTATTAATGTAGTTTTCTCATAAATAAACGAAAATAAAAAATATATTATTATTTTTTATTAAAAATAAGAATTAATTTAAAAGATGGTATATGAAACAAATGATTTATGTGGAATTTTTAGGTTTGTGGAATAAATATCCACAACACAACAATTTCCAACCACTCAAAATCACCTCAAATCCAATAACACTTTCAAAACACTCTAAATATATAAACAAAGACTTCATGTACAAGAGATTGGATAATGTAGTCAAACGGGTACGGATCTATAGTGGCACGTGTCACCATATTATTCTTTCGTTAAAGGGTAAAAAAATTAGGTTTGTGAAATGTGCAATCGTATTAATTTGTTGTGTGCCACGGTATGTATTTTGAAACTACAATGAGAACAAGTTTTATTTGATAGAGTTGGTTTGCAAGGTTTTAATTCCACTTTAGACCCAAATTCGAATCCTATTAGTGTCATTTTTTTTGTCAAATGGTGTCACCGTTTGAAAAAATTCTGTATATTTGTTTCTTATAGTCAAACGGTGCCACCATTTAAAAATTTTTCCCTATATTTTTTTCTTATAGTCAAATGGTGTCACCGTTTGAAACTTTTTTTTGGTTCAATAACACCAGATTATTCGTAGTCGTCCATAGTATTAGTCGATGCACGTAAGCATCTAAGTTTCTTGTTTTGAATAATTAAGTTTATTAATTTTTTTTCTTGAATAAATAAACCATCAAACTTTTAAAATATTTACCATCTTCACTCAAGAGAATGTAAATCAGTTTTATCGTTCTCAAACCTTACGTCATTCGAACCTCTCACACACCGACATCACTCCCTCTCGGCACTCATCGTCGCCCATTGTTTCCCGTTCTCCGTGCCGCTCATTGCCGCCGTCGACACTGGGGCCAGATGGGTTCGGGTGGACGGAGATGAAATCCGATCGGTTTTGAGGGAGGTTAGGGAAGGGCTGAACTGTGGGGTATACATGCAATCAGGTTGGGGGGAGTTTGGCTGGACTAACATTACATGGCATGAACATGATGGTACTGCAAGTGCTCGACTCGAGTTTGCGTTGGGAACATGGGTTTCACATGACAATATGGACATATGGCAATAAATGGCATGGGCAAATTCGTAATTGGTTAATGTAACTTTTTTTGGATTACAAAGTTTGATAGTTTATTATTATTATTTTTTAATTCAAGGCCGTAATTATTTAAAATGTTAAAGTTTAATGGTTTTTTCATTCAAAAAATAATTCAGAGACTTAATTATTCAAAGTGACAAAGTTTAATGATATTTTCATTTAAAAAAATAATTTAAGAACTAAACCATTCAAAGTGAGAAAGTTTGTCAAGTCTTTTTGGATTTTTTCCTAATTCAAAACAGTGGATCGGGCTCAGACTCAGCTGTGACATCCAATGCTTATCTTCTCAATGACCAAGGGGACGTTTAGCACTATTATTTATGTACCATGTAAGATTTTAGTCCATCAAAACGACATCGTATGTAACAATTTACCCAGTAAACGCTTACCATGGTAAGAGTCATCACCATCATTTACCGGGTAAGTTTCATGGTCCTCGTCTCGCTCTTATCGGGTAAAATTATTGATCCTTATCATATTCATTAGATGAGGTAACATGACTTGATTAAACGCTTATCCGGGTAATTGTTTGGTAAACGGCACTTGACTCATCGTACAAAAGGTTTCACTAATTCTCAACAGATTGATGATGCATAAGTTTCAATATCCAGAGGGTTTTCTTTTCGTATGTTAACTTCAATTTTTGTTGGGTCTGATCTCCCCTTTTTATTGTAAAAACTTGTATTTATTGGTTTAATAAATTGTTGACTTTAAAGAAAAGTGTCGAAAATGCCCAAACATATGAATTGTGTGGTCTTCAATTTACCTTTAATTTATACCATTTTATATAAACTTATATCTTCGTGTTCAAACCAATCAGACGTATTTTTGAACAAGATTTGCTGTGTGTGGTTAATCCATCTCAAAGAGAAATCAAGGGTAGATCTGAGCAATTAGAATGCATTTTGGTTAAGAGGAGATTGCTTTGACTTTCTTGTTATCGAATCAAATCAAACCAACTTCTAAACCCTAATTCAATGTAAGAACAATCCGTTACCCCTAATTAACTGCTGTACAATTGAAATCAATGGATATGATCATCGATTCCATTCAAATCTAAGCACAAGATACACACGAATTAAAGGCATCTAAATCGAAGAAACTTTACCAGATGAGATTGTGCTTCAATCCTAAGCCATGTTTCCCATGAACACATCCAGGCCTGTTGTATTGATATGCAATCCGTTTTGATCTTTTCATCTTTGGATAATCTCTTTTCCCCAATTTCCTCATCCTCTGCCTTTCGAATTTGTTGTTCACCCATTTTGGCACCAGTTCGTCGTCTAAATCGGAATCATCATCATCGTCATCGTCATCTTCATCTTCCTCACCATCATCCTCATCGTATGGATCATCTTCACCGTCGATCATACCATCATCTTTCACGATGGCCTTGTCATGGATTACTTGATGGTTGTGATCAATTTCACATGCGTCTTTGAGTTCCTGTTCGGCCACATAACTCAGATTTAACTCCAAAGTGCAATTAAAGTCATCGATTACTTCAAAAATTATGATAAAACATCACAAACAGTTGATTTCATTTCACGGTCTCGAAGTTAGAAAACGAAAAAAATCAGAGTATGAGTTCACAAATCAAGCAGAACTAATTACCTGGCAGTGATGACTGATTTCATCTACCAGAGACTGCATAGATATATCAGACAACGGAGATCCGTAAGGATGTTGAAGGCGATCACCGACGTCTGCCCCAACTTCGTCGCTATCGGAGGTGACGTCACCATAAGAGAAGTTACCATCGTCGGAATCGGATGGATCGATGACCTCCCACGAATCGGAGTCGGAAACGTCGAATTCGATGGACTCAAAGGCTTCTCCGGTGAATGATGAAGCAAGAACCATGGATTTATTCGCCATTTTCACAACCTTGGATTGTTTTGTTGGTTTTTTTTTTTTTTTTTGCCTAAATTTTGCTTGTCCAGAAAACTTTGAAGGATGGGTAAGGTAAAAGGGTGGTGTTTCGTGTTAAATAAGAGAATGATAGCCACGTGTCAGTTTTTCATGGCTCTGGTCGATGTGGACCTTTCCTGTAATTCTATTGGTCAGCAAACGTGTTCATAATTTTAAGAATGCTTTTTTGTTACATGTCTTCTCATAATATTATATTTTAAAACTAAATTTCACACATTTTAAAGGTGAGTTCTTGTTATGTTCCATCTATGTTAAACATAAGATATTGAGTTTTGTCCTGTCTCGTTTTATGTACCAAATACAGCCAACATATATTTTTTAGGTTTTCAGTTGATTTCCATAGTGTTTTAGTTTTTTTGGTTGACTTCAAAATTGAAATATTTAGGAAATATATTTCATAATCGATGCTTATCCTGATCATTTATCAAATGCAAATGTTTTAGGAAATAATCCATACAAATCATATTCGATTGTTACCAAATATAAGCGAAGCGGTTTGGTTTAAATGTCGGTTTGATAATTCAAAACCGTTAACGACATTGCAAAAAATTAAAAGGTGGTTTGAAAAAGATTTAAATATAATCCGCAATATGAAAGTTTTAAACCGCACGACGCAGTGTGGCGATTGATGTGATTTTCAGTTTAGATTAACACCCTTATCCACAATAAACAGATATACAGTTTTAGATGTGAATAATTATTGCACGATTTAATTATTTGGATAACAGTTTTACTCTTAAATACCATAATTATTCAGTTTCACGAATAGATTTTTCATATCCTAAACAAGGTAGAATTGAAAATTTAGTAAACTTGAATAAAAATATGAATATTTATCTTGGAACAAAATCTATTTTATTTTGAAGAACATATTATGTCTATTTTGAAGGGTATCTCCAACTAGGGGTGTTCATGGGTTGGGTTGATCGGGTTGAATATATTTGAACAACCCAACTTAATACTTACGGTTTGAAAAATCTTAACCCAACCCAACCCAAACCGTACGGGTTGGTCGGGTTGATGCTTTGGTACTTAAAATATTTTTCTAACCTTGAATATGTTATTTCTCTATTGATAATTTCTTTTTCATCATCAACCATTTGATACAACTTATCCATAGTTCTTACGTATATCACATTCAGTTAATTTTCTCAATTTACGTATATATGCTTACAATTACTGAACATATATACGAATGAGTTATATAGAGATGTGAATAGATTGAAAAAATGTGTATATGAAGAGTGTACGTGATAGTGTAATTGTCTAATGTATATATTAATAGAAATTCAACAATCATATTAAATCCAAGAAATAAAATGATATCGGGTTCATCGGGTTGGGTTGGGTTCAAATAATAATAACTCAATATCAACCTAATACCTAAGGTTTGAAAATTTACAACTTGATTAGACATCGGGTTGCTTGGGGTTGAGTTATTTTGCGTTGGGTTGGGTTGGGTTGATCGGGTTGGTCGGGTTTTTCAGCACCCTTATCTCCAACCCAACAGTAAAAACACTAAAAACATAAAAATAAAGTTTTTTTTTGAAGTATATATGGGGCAAATAGAACAAATAAACTCACACACCCTCCTCATCTTTGGTGATGTTTGAACTCATGACCTTCTAGCAGGGCCGGCCCTGACCATAGGCCCAGAGGGCGACAGCCCAGGGAAGCATGAAACCTAAGGGCATCAAATTTGTAAAGCCCAATGTGTGTGTGTGTGTGTGTGTGTGTGTGTGTATATATAGGTTCGGTTTTCTTTGGGCCTTAAAAAATTTACAGTTACCACTTAGGCACTTACCAGCAGTTCACGTCCATCAATTCCTCCCTCTCGCCTCCTCGCGACTCTCGCTTCGCTCTCACGCTCTGCCGCTCTCAATCGAAATCAATATTGCAAACGGCTCTCGTTCTCTACCTGACTGCCTCTCTCGATTATTGACTCCGACTGCCGGGCGCCGGCTGCCTCTCTCGTCTCTGCGGCTGCCTGCCTGCCTGCCTCTTGCTCTCCGCCCGTCGGTCTATGAGACTGTGACTACTGTTGTGAGGTTAGGGCTTAACTTAGGGTTATTTGATTACTTATTTACTTATTTACTTTACTTTATTACTTATTTTATTTTCTAAGTTTCTAATTTTTGTTTGATTGCAAAATCTAATAATGAACAGAAGCTGTGAAATTGGTCACTTACTGTGTTCGACTCATTGACTGTTTCACTTGTTACAAACCACAAAATTAGAAACAAATGAAAACCATTTGTTAACTTTAGATTTTTAGGGTTGTTTTACTGTAATACTGTTTAGAAGCGGGTTACTGGGTTAGTATAGGACAAAAGTCAAAGGCTTAAGTTAAGATTGATGCTTATGTTTTCTCCTTTATCAAGTTGTTGAAGTCATATCTACGGTCTACCATGAGTCAAGAAAGATTGAACGGGTTAGCAATCTTGAATATTGAAAGTAAGTTTTTAGCTAATATTAGATATGACGAAGTGATAGATATTTTTACTTCAAAAAACGCAAGAAGACATCATTTTAAGTGAATGGTGATGTATTTTATATTTTGTTACACGGGGTTTTGGTTTATGTCCCCCCGTTGCATCATTTTTGTTATATTAATATAAATCGGCGTGGGGATGAACCGCTTAGATTGACTAGGTTCCAAATCCCTTCAAATAGTTTATTTTGGTTTTTATTTACACATATAAGGGGCATTTTTTTGACTTTCCGCCATGGACATCCAAAATCTCAGGGCCGACCCTGCCTTCTAGAAGGTCAAATAGTTTATTTTGGTTTTTATTTACAATATTTTGCTGTAAAGTTTCAAGTGTAAAAATATGGTCTCACAGGTCTCACGAAAATAGGTTAGTCTCACATGTCTCAAATACCCTTATTTCTTTTTTGAGCTTCCATAACAATGTATATGATTGTTCTTAATCAAATAAGAAGCCTTTTAACCTCTGATTCAATACCGTTAACTCACTAAATGCTTTTGTAACACAATTCGTAACTAATGGATCGTAAAACAAAATCTTTTCTTAAGAACTTACTTGAATTCCGTTGTCAGATGTTCGACATTAACTACGTCGTTTCTTTTATCTATAATTTACTCCAATCCACCTCGTTTGCACTTATTACGCTTGCAAATGCTTCTCGAACAATATTATCTCTAAATGGGGTTCACAACAATATTATCTCTAAATGGTTTGGTTCTTTTCTCTCCCTTCTTTTCTCTCGGGGCTCCTTGGCTTTTTCTGGTGGATGTGGTTCGCCCCCACCCGAGCGCGTATTTGTTTTGCTTTTTAACGTTTTAGTGTTTTATCTTGATCTGGAGGGGTCACCCCCCTCCCTATAAAAAAAACTCCGTTATAATTCCCTCGTACATACGATTTAACGGGTTTGATATATAGCCTTATGATCTATCTGCATTTATTTAAATGTTTAATTTAATTTGTTTGAGAATAAAATTCTTTTCTTTTTCTTCCTAAAAATGGTTCGAAAATTTAAGTAGTAATAAGAAAATGATTGTTATTGATTTATACTATATTATAAAGCATTTGACAAAAACTTTTAAAAACCACTTTTTATGCGTAAAGTACTGTTTATCAATTCATATTACTTAAAACTCAAGATTACAAGTAAATTGTGCGTAAGTACAACTTATTAAAGCTCTATATATGAATTCGTGTAACTAATTGCAGATAAACATAATCAAATATAGGATAAATATTTCATTTTAAATATAAAAAATCTAAAATATAACTCGGATAATCAATAAGATCTAACAGAATACTTAATTATTATCTTTATAAAATGTTATATTATTAAATCAAAAAAAAAAATATTTCCTTATTAAACTTAAATTAAATTATAATAAAAAAATTAAAGAAATTACATAAAAAAAATGAGAACTTTTAAATAGTTGATTTGATATTAACATTGATATATATATTTTTTAAAATTTTATGATATCTTCAACTTTATATTTTATTCAAAAATAAAATCATTATTGTTTTTCTTAAAAACACATAAAATCATATTATAACATCGACAATGACATAATAAAATAGAACATTAAAATCGAGATGTGTCTCGCTGCATTGCGTGAGTACTCTTCTAGTAAAATAAAATACAAATAATATAGTAAAAATGTTTTTACCATTATCCATCAAACGTTAGATGTGTTTATGTTAAAAAATCGTAAAAAATGATTCAAGACCAAGAAGTTTGGATAACGATAAAAGTTTGTAACTTTGAACAAATAAATAGTAAAAAACAAGATATATAATTTGATGACGTGGAAAACTTAACCGAGGATAAAAACCGTGGACAATCGTAATTATTGTCAATGCACTATGTACGTCAATAACAGACGACGTCTTTAATAACTGTTTGTTGCTATTACAGATCGTAGTTGTTACTCAGAGTCGTTAATAACAAATTGAACAGAGACTTCAGTAGTAAATGCTTCTTTTGTAAGTAATTAATCTTATAAATTGTTTGGGGACCATATTTATACGTTCAAGAACTGCTACTTTAATATCCATAGTTTCAGGGGCAGATATTATGCGTCTTCGATGAGGCTCATAACTTTTGTTGGTCGGTTACCTTTTACAATTTAATGAGAGGATATTGCGTCGGTAATCTTCAGTTATTACGATTATCTGCAAAGAAAATCATAAACATACTGGAAGTCATTAATAATCAAATAATTAGTTGGCGTGGTTATGCATGATCGTATGATATATCGCTATCACGAATGTTTCTTAGTCGGTCGTTGTTATGAATCTTGTACCCATACAAATTATTCTCGAAAATTCTTTCGGTATTAACATGCAATAAATATAAGATAACTCTAAAATAGAAAAGGCGATAACGATACGAAGGTAATAACTTTTCTTTCGGGTAAGAGTTGTTACATTCACTTACCGAGTAAAACTCTCAATCTTTATCATTGCTCTTACCGGGTAAGATTTTTGACCCTTGTCATTTCATCCGGTAAGAAAAATTACTTTGTAATCACT